TTTCGTGTGCGTTTTTTTACAAAACAAAAACTTGGTTAAATGCAAGCGTGTTGGCCCTTTGCCATTAGTGACGTCAACAAACGCTTAGTTTCCATGAAATTGCAGGAACCACAGACATCTCATTGAAAATTAGAATGATGTAAATTGATGTTATCAGTGTCTCTGATACACATAAAAAATTTAGAAAACCTCTTTACAATCTCTTTAACAAGAACCACAGACGTCTGATTAAAAATTAGAATGGTGTAAATTGATGCTATCAGTGTCCCTGATACACAAAAAAAATTTAGAAAACCTCTTTACAATCTCTTTAACAAGAACCACAGACATCTGATTGAAAATTAGAATGATGTAAATTGATGCTATCAGTGTCCCTAATACACATAAAAAATTTAGAAAACATCTTTACAATCTCTTTAACAAGAACCACAGACGTCTGTTTGAAAATTAGAATGGTGTAAATTGATGTTCCTGATACACATAAAATATTTAGAAAACCTGAGAATCTGTGAGAAACAGCTATTTCTGAATCATGATATTCTAAGAGAAAACTCACCCATTGGCACAATTCTTGTGACATTTCTGACATACAGAGTTTTTGTCTGGATACATGATTTCAGGACACTCCGCTAGACAGATTTTAATTAACCCTTTTAAAACTTACATTTTTGGCACATATCTGGACCTTCACCCCAACACGCTTTGGTCTGTTTGGATTCTTGGTAACACGAATCGTGGCATTCCCCACCTGAAAAATACAAAACATATCAACATATAATTAGTTTTTCATACTACTTTTCTGCATCTAATTAGGCTAATGAAGATGGGCAACGCCATGCAGTGTACAATGAGGGAAATTTTGCCAGGATGGCAACATTAGCCTGCTCTTTTTCGATTTCAGACTGTCAAGGGATCTTTAATTGTCAAGCCTTTAGTCAAAATGTACAAAAAAAATGAAATGAAATTAATGGAGTTTTACGTCCTACTTTTCTGCATCATGTGGGGTAATGAAGATGGCAAATGCCATGCAGTGTGCAATGAGGGAAATTTAGCCAGGACAGTGGCACCAACAACATGTTTCATGTTCAAATGAAATGAAATGAAATGAAATGAAATGATTTTTATGTCCTACTGCTCTGCATCATGTGGGGTAATGAAGATGGCAAATGCCATGCAGTGTACAATGAGGGAAATTTTGCCAGGACAGCAGCATTAGTCTCCTCATTTCGGGATCTTAAATTGTCAAGCTTTTTAATGAAATGTAATACACAGTTGTCATTAGATACATTTGTAAAGTAACGTAACTTTGATGCCAAAAGTTGGAATTCTAAATATTTTCCCATCGTTTTTTTTTTGTGAAAAAAGAGCCAAAAGATGGAAAGATACGTCTGTAATTCATTTTAATAACATCTTCAAAAACCTCTTAGAAACATCGTAAATTGTGATTTGGACTCTTCAATAGTGA